CAGACTGAAACAGGCTCCAGGCTCCGAGCTGGCAGTCAGCACAGAGCCCGACGCGGGGCTTGAACCCACGAACCGCGAGATCATGACCTGAGCGAAAGTCGGACACTTAACCGACTAAGCCACCCAGGCGCCCCTTTAATTTTTCTTTTTAATGTTTATCTTTGAGTAAGACATTGCGAGAGGAGGAAGGGCAGAGAGAGAGTGAGACACGGCCTCTGAAGCAGGCTCCAGGCTCTGTGCCGTCAGCACAGAGCTCAATGCAGGGCTCAAACTACAAACTGCAGGATCATGACTGAGCCGAAGTCAGATGCTTAACCAACTGAGCCACCCAGGTGCCCCCTGTAGTGACTTACTTTTGTCTAGCCTTAAAACGATTTGTGCCAGGGCGCCTGGGTGGCTTAGTCTGTTAAGCGTCTGACTGCAGCTCAGGTCATAATCTTGGGGTCTGTGAGTTCGAGCCCCAAGTCGGGCTCTGGGCTGTCTGCTTCAGATTCTAGGTCTCCTCTTTCTCTATTCCTGCCCCACTTGTGATCTGTCTCTCTCTCTCAAAAATAAACATTAAAAAACTATTCATGCCAAGTAACTTAGATCAAAACATAAACTGTTTTTTTGGCTTAAATTATGCATAGAGGGGCACCTGGGTGGCTTAGTCAGTTAAGCGTCTGACTTCAGCTCAGGTCATGATCTCACAGCTCGTGAGTTTGAGCCCCGCATCAGGCTCTGTTACTGACAGCTCAGAGCCTGGAGCCTGCTTCAGATCCTGTGTCTTCCTCCTTCTGCCTCACCCTGACTCACTTTTTGTCTCTCTTTCTCTAAATAAATTAAGTAATTAAATTATTAAATAAATAAATAAGAACACTTTAAAGTAAAAAAATAAATTATGTGCATAATTATTATCTTCAATTACTAATATAGAAGTAAAGAGACATAATTTCTTTCCATCTCGTAATTCCTACACATTTGTAACAACACATACAATCATTTCCCAACAAATACTTGTTCGAGCTGAGTGAGATAAATAAAGGAAGTGCACGATCACTAGAAGATGTTTCCTTGTAAATGAAATTATGTACCATGGCAATTCATCAACTGGCAAAGGCAGCTTTCCATTCCAATCTCTGATTTTTTTTAAATTTTTTTAAAAAATGTTTTATTTATTTCTAGGAGAGATAGAGAGAGACAGCATGAGCAGGGGAGGGTCAGAGAGAGAGGGAGTCACAGACTGAAACAGGCTCCAGGCTCTGAGCTGGCAGTCAGCACAGAGCCTGATGCGGGGCTCGAACCCACGAACCGCGAGATCATGACCTAAGCGAAAGCCGGACGCTTAACCGACTAAGCCACTCAGGCGCCCCTCCAATCTCTGCTTTTTAAGCCATTGTTTTGAATTTGAACTGTACAGCTGTACTGTGCTTTACACAAACACATCCCAGATCATAGCTCATCACTCTGGAATATATTTTACGATATGTATTTTGGCGTGTCTATGAGCCATCCTGTCCGTGTTTATGTAAAGCCAAACCACATTATCATAGATTGCTTGCACCAGAAAAATATCTAGTGGTCTAGTGGCTTACTAGTGGTCCACATCAGTCTATACTGTGAAACCAGTATAATTTGGTCTTTAGAAATTCCATCTTACAGTCTACTCCTTTCAGAGCAAATAAACAACTGTCTATTGGTGGTCTGCATTGCAAGTCCCCTGTACTAGAAACCATGCCATCTGCCGCACTCCATCTGGTCACAGCCCCTTGTTGAGAGGTGGGCAGTGGTGGTCTTTGCTGCACAGTGCTGGGCAAGACACCAAACCCTGAGATATCTGCCCCAGACCTTGCTTTCCTAATCACTTACAACTGATCCAGAGTGAGTGTCCGACCTGAGTTTCAAGAAGCAAGAAATCATGCTGGGAATTTGGACCTAGGTCAAAGAGAATCAAGTTGGTCTTGAACTCCAGGATGAAAACCATGGAAAATGATGACGGCAAGAGAGAAGAAGGGAGCAGATGTACACAAGAAAGGAGACAGGTGGATGCAGAAGGGAGAAATCCCTTGAGTCCCTCATCTTCCTGATACCCGCTACATTCCTGAGCCTAGATTCTGTGAGACACCACCAGGGACTTATAAAGCCAAAGTCCCCCTTTGGCTTAAGCTAGTTGAAATTTACTTAAACTGAAATATTTCTAACTAGCACAAATTGGTGTTGGAAGCCAACATAAAATAAGACGATGATACCATTTAAAGAGTGCAGTTTTCCAGAAAAGGAAATGGAGATCACATAGTTAAGTCCTTGTACGAGGTCACACACCAGGCAGCCCAGCCCCTAGATCAGAGAATTAACTTCTCTACTGTTCAGCTTCTCCAAATGGACACAAAGGAAAAGACCTGATCTGGTATCTGGTGTCAGGCATCGGTGTCCTCACCGTACCACTTGTTCAGGGCTAATTATTGACCTTCAATTTCTTAACTTGTGAAATGAAGATAGCTAGAATTGTGAAAATGTGGTTGTTGCAAGGGTCAGTGAGATAACACAAATGATACGTGTTGGCCCAATAGTCATTCAATAAAAGTAATTTCCACTCTCTTTCCAGGTTTTCACTCATGAGTACTTGGAGTGGCTGAAACTGATGGTATATTGTAAAGGGTGGTGGTAACCAGCATCCATCTGTGTTTCTACCATTAAATAGGGTGCTGAGATAGATGTTTCTCATTATGGTAGGGAAGGATTCTTCTAATCCACGTTACTACATAGATTTTTTTTTTCCTCAGAAATTGATGGCAGATACTATCAAGTAACTTTTCAGCTTCTAACAATAACAAAAATTCCATATGTCTTCTGTCTTTTGACATCGTAATTCATTCTGATAATAGGATACCTAATATTAAACTGTCCTCGGTTTCCTAAAATCAAATATCTTTAATCACTTTGCATTATTCTGGGAATGGATTGGTAGGTTCCGGTGTTTTATTTATCAGTGTTTAACATATGAGTGAGATGTCTTTAGTTTTCTTTCTTTTCATCTTTTCCAGATTCCATTTTATGGTGATGGTAGCTCATAATGATGAATTGAGAAGTTTTCTATCCTTTTCTGATTTCTGGAACTATTTATACAGCAAGGGGGTTTTCTATTCATGGAGGAGTTGAAAGAATATGTCTTTAAATACATATGCATATATATCCAGTCCCAGCATCAGTTTTATATATAGTCCTTTTTCTTTATAACTTTCTATTTCACACTGTAGTTATTGGCCTATTTGAATTTTCTACTTCTTCTTGAATAGATTTGAATAATTTATATTTTGTTAGAAAATTTACAATTCGTTGAAATATTCCGTTTTTTCAACATCAAGCTGAACATGGGATTTTTGTGTAATATTTTTATCTACTCCATATTCATGGATACTTATTGCCTGCTGAGATTACAATTTTTCTTTACTAGGCCCTTTGGGGCCACATCCAAGTGAGGAGGGTACTTAGCCAGGCACTGTGTTGACCTTTGGTCTCTTTCTGCTTTGAGTGGCCTTGGGTCATCCCCATCTGGATGGTCACCAACCCCACCATCAGGCTAGAATTATCAGCTGTAATGCTTAGAGTGCAGTTAGAATGGGTAAGCCTGTATTGGGGTAGAAGTAAACTGTGCTTTGTATATACAGAATTGTGGTAACCATGTTTGGGACTGATCGGTTATTGGGCAGGTCAGGAGACAGCACTGAGGGACGAAGCACTGGTCACCTTGGGCACCCTGGCCTCAAGGAGTCTAACACATCTAGTTATCCTATGAACATCCCCATCCATGCTGCACCCCATAACACCTTCACTGAGATTCCCTTTGCCTCTAGTCTCTTCAGAGTCAATAATATTTCTATGTTAGTATTTATATGATATTTCCTGCAAATACAATTGACTGCTTGAAATATGCCAATTTGAAGTGTTATTTATAATTATGTTTATTCTATGGGATCAGATGATATGTTCATTTAAACAATTTTTATGGTAGGAAATAGAGTAGGATTTATATCTTTTATAAATTTATATCTTATATAAATTTATATAAAATTTATAGTAGGAAATTTTAAGAGTAGGAAATCTTCTGAGTCTGAAAAGAGCCTCATGAAAGGTAGTGGAGATGGGTTCATTGGAAATTCCAATTAGGAGGGTCTGAAAAGTCACAATTAAGTCCACACTTAGGTGAAAATCTACTTAGCTGGAGAGAGACCAGGGAGACCCCTGTTATATGGACATAGGAGCCAGGGATGGGCAAGGCCCACACGGTGAGGAAACCAGCGTGCTGGACCAAGCAGACAAGAATCTGGTTGAGGAGCAGGGTAACAATGAGGCCAAGTTCCAAGGAGCCTCAGCCAAGCAAGTTATTAGCAAAAATTCCAGGGTAGTAGAAAAAATCTCAAGATCTGCCCCAACAAGGATTTAAATCGTTAAAGGCCTTTACATCTGGAGGTAGCCAGATCTACAGGACCAGTTCTTCCAGCAGAGACCTGTTCTCTGTATGTGGCTGGCAGTGCTCAGTAGCAATGTCGGTTCAGCTTATTGCTTATCACAATGGGATCCCATGTAACTCTTCCTACTGAGTCTGAGCACAACTGCCATATGTGGCTCATACGCAAATCCTCCACCTCCTGGCAGGTATCAGGCGCACATTTGACCTGCATGTGGTATCTCTGGAATGTTTGAACAGATAAGGATGGACTGTCCAAAATATGTTCTATGTCCTTGGGTCCAGTTCTGAGAGAATTCCAGAATAATGACTCTATTCTGATACTTGAGGAAAGAAGGGTTCTTTTAGCACACACCAAGCACATAGGCATTGTTTACAAGTAAAGAGTAAGAAGGAGAAGGAGAATGGGTACCCCCCGGTGTCATCAATTGACAAATTCCTTAAACAGCTTACAAGGAGTCAAGAAATACATCAAACACAAATACAAATTGGCATTTTTAATAGTGTAAATTTCCACCTGGCCTTAAATTGCTCTCCCTTGTCTGTGTTCCAGGTTCAGGTTTAGTGGTCGGATCCTAGGCCTGGCTTTGATCCATCAGTACCTTCTTGATGCCTTCTTCACAAGGCCCTTCTATAAGGCACTCCTGAGACTGTAAGTGTTTTGCAGGCCATGGTCCACAGTCTTCCCTGTGGGACAACTGTCGCTGGCCTCCCTGGCACCTCTGACCCTTTGTCCCTGTTTTGCCCTAACCATTCTTTCTTGTTTCCTTTTCTGAGTGCTTAGATATCACATAAACCTTTTCGTATAATAAAAAGGCATTTGGAGTAAGCATAGGAGTAGACAATTATAACATCATATAAAGGATCTGAATCAGTTTATATAAATAATTACAGTAAATTACAAACTTTGCATTACACTACTAAGTAGAATTGATCTATCTAAAACTTAGTTGTGTTTAAATGTTTTAAGAAAATTTTTTTCTCCAATTGCTGTCAAGAGTTTATGAGTCAATAACCATCCCATGTTTATTACTGTCATTTCCAAAAAAGCACTGAATGAAAAGAAAGATTCATCAATATATTCAAAAGTATCAAATTGTTAGACTCAGTCTATATTGTTTTAGCCAAGTCTGGGCAGCCATTTGTTTAACAATCTGTTTACCTTTCACCCTTGGGATGCATCCAGGCCCTGCGATTTGAGTGATCTGGAATATTTGGATGAGGAATTCCACCAGAGTTTGCAATGGATGAAGGACAACAACATCACAGATATCCTAGACCTCACTTTCACTGTTAATGAAGAAGTTTTTGGACAGGTTTGTGTGATGTGGGGCTTGGAAAAGACCATTTGTTTTTTATTGTGAAAGATTCACATAACACAAAATTAACCACCTTAACCATTTTTATGTCTATAGCTCAGTATTGTGAAGTAGATTCACACTGTTGTATAATCGCTAGAATTTGTTCATTTGGCAAAACTAAAGCTATAGCCGTTAAACAATAATTCCTTATTTTTCCTTCTCCCCAGTCCCTTGCAACCACCATTCTAGTTTCTCTTACTGTGGATTTGGCTGCTCTAGACACCTCACATAAATGGCATCATAGAGAATATGTCTTCTCGTGACTGGCTTATTTCACTTAACACCATGTCCACCAGGTGTATCCACATTACAGCATGTGACAGGGTTCCCTTACTTTTTAGGGTCAAATGATATTCTGCTATATGTATATGCCATATTTTATTTTTCCATTCATCTGTTGATGGACCCTTGGGTTGCTTCCACATTTTGGCCATTGTAAATAATGCTGCTATGAACATGGGTGTACATTTACCTGTTCAAGTTCTTGCTTTCAGTTCTTTTGGATTTATACTGACAAGTGGATTGCTGGATCATAAAGTAATGAGATTTTTTTTTAATCTAACAAAGAATCTCATCCATTTAAAATATAATTCTTTGAGGACTACTTCCTTTAATAAGCCTGTCCGTATCTTCTTCCTTCTTTCTTTGTTGTGACATGGATCTGCTTTAGAGAGTTTTTTGAAAAGCAGATGTGATAATGGATCAGAAAACATTTTTGTGAAGTATGAAATACATCTGTAAAGTATTTCTGTTATCTGTACAATTAGAAAAGTACTTTTTTATTATTTCTAGCTTCTAGATGTTCACTCCTCCAAAACGCACGTATCTCAATGCTATTTAATAAGATAAAGCTTCCCATTTTTATTCCCACCAGTATTTATATACCTTTGAATCCTCCGAGTTACAGTTTTATCAGGTTAACCATAGCCTGGGTCACCTACAGGAGATTTCAAAAGCCTCTGACACATGATTTGAAATGGGTTGTTGTGAGAATTGAGTCGGTAGACTTTATAAGTATCTTGACGAATGTGAACGGTGTGCTGAGCTGTGTGTGAGAGGTACCCACTGAACTCTGCAGCTCCCATACCATGATCATAAATTTTGGACAGGTCCTGGAAAATGTCAGCATTCTGTTGAATTTCCTTTGAAATTCGGGTATTTTGAGGAATTCCTTGTGTAAAGGACACTCAGGTATCCTGAAGAATACTCTCTTCCATATTCGAGAAAAAACTTTTTTCTCCTTGTAACTATAGAGAGTACATTTAAATATGTTCAAGAATATATGATTCATTGGGTTCAGTCAGTGGAGTGTGCAACTTGTGATATCAGGGTTGTAAACCCAAGTGTCACTTTGGGTGTAGAGATTACTTAAAAAATAAAATCTTAAAAAAAATGTATGGTTCACATGACTGTCCTACCTTGTACTAGTTGAAAGTATGAAGTATACTGTTCCCTATGTGTGGCTTCTTTTAACTCATTCTTTACATTTGCCCTGTAGTAGAGGGCAAATTTGTAAAATAAACGTAATCATTTAGAAAGTTTTATTAAGACAAGTGGGTAGACACCTTAAATTTTAAGTTCAGACTCCTAACCTAACTCATTACACCACAGTAAATTCCACCTGGATCAGAAAGCTCTGTTAAAATTTTTAAAAATCTGAAAATGCTACAATTTTTATTTTTAATCTTCCAATAAGGAATGCTACGGTAGATGTGGCCCAACTTTCAACGTCATAAAAGCCGAGATTGACATAGCAAACTAAAATTATTGTTTTAATTCTGTGCGGCAACAACACAACATAAGCAAAGTAAACGTGGAATAATATCGAATATGCTGTAATGTTTTACACAGACAAAAGGCTATTCTTTCAACGTTGGAAGAGATCCCACAGATCAGTAAGAAATGACCAATAACACAATAGAAATTTAGCAAAATATAAATGGTTCCCAGAAACAGAAAGATGAGGAAATACTCCATCTTCATTCACAAGTTGCAAAAATGTAAATTAAAGCCTAGTGAAACGCTATTTTCCCTCCGAAGATTATCTTGAGTCAGAAAGTTTAACTGTATTCTGTTTTGGAGCTGGTGTAGATAACAAGCACACTGTACAGGAGTGTAGGTGGAAGTTTGGTTCACTCTCTGTGAAGGGTACCTTTGTGATAGCTACCCTCATTCTAAATGTACCTGTCGCCCCACCAGCTGTTGTATGTAAGTGTTGAATCACTAAATTCTACACTTGAAATGAATATTACACTGTGTGTTAACTAACTGGAATTTAAATAAAACCTAGAAAAAGAATGAAACTACGAAAAATAAAAAACAAATGCACCTTCCCTTGACTCAGCACCCATGTCTAGGGATTTGTCCTGCTAATATATTTATTCACACCTAATTCAAGTGAGTAATATATCAAGATCTTCACTGAAGCATTGTTGATACTTGCAAAAGATCTGAAACAATCTAAATGCCCAGCAATAGAGCATTGGTTAAATAAATTATGATACATTCACACAGCAGAATAGTGAGTTAGTGGGATATGTGGCTAAAAAGTGCAAGACATTCCAGCCCATCAACTTACATGTAAATCATAAACAATAAATAGGATATTATGACCAAAGCAGAATAAGTCAATTCTAAATTGGTATAAAACGATTGTTATATTTTTAAGTGAAAAAAGTATGGTGATGAACAGTGTATATAATATGCTGCTGTTTATGGGCACAAAGAGATGATATATACATATTCTCCAGTAAATACATAGAATCTTCCTGGAAAAGAAGTAAGGGCAATTTTCTCCAGGTTGGGAGATTGTACGGCTGGGCGATGAGATGGAACAGAACCTTGCTTTTCACTTATGGCCTTTAATGTTATTCCCTGGACACATAATTCCTACTCAAAAAAAAAAAAAAAAAAAAAGAGGCAAACTACAATAACTGAATATATATAATTAGAGGGAAAAAATAATATCGAAAAACCAAAGGAGCCATCCTTCATGGGTATGTGGCATAGGAACCACTCAGAGAAAAGCTTAAAATGTCCCCAGTGATAAAAACAAGGATGTGTTGTAGACCTAGAATAACGCATTATCTCTGTAATTGCATATCTCATTCCTCTTCAAATGAGGTCACTGAGAACAATGACTTGGGGTTTAGGAAACCGAGTTATAGTCCTTCTTTTGACAAGTGATGAGACACTGCAGAGCAGACAGATAGATGCAGGTGAAAGACACGATGGGCATTTCCTGGGTGAACTCGTTAGGATTAGGGTCAGCTGCCCGAGAAGAAACCCAAAATGACCCAGCTGAAACTAACAGTTTATTCTTCTCTCACATATAAAGGTAGAGGCAGGCAGGCTTAGTCAGTTAGGCGTCCGACTTTCGCTTAGGTCATGATCTTGCGGTTCGTGGGTTCAAGCCCCGCGTCGGGCTCTGTGCTGACTGCCAGCTCAGAGCCTGGAGCCTATCCCGGAGTCTGTGTCTCCCTCTCTCTCTGACCTTCCCCTGCTCACGCTGTCTCTCTCTCTCCTAGAAATAAATAAAAACACTAAAAAAAAAAAAAAAGAAAGGTAGAGGCAGGCAACCCAAGGCTGCAGTGAAAGTACCATACAACACTCCTGCTTGCACGGTATTGGCCAGAATTTAGTTATAGGGCACACCCAGCTGCAAGTGAGGTTAGGAAATAAAGTCTTTTACTGGGCAGCTGAAAATCAGGGGTTCCAAGGAATGTGGATAATTAGTGGCAACTAGGATGTCATAATTAGCCAATATTTTATAATTAGCACTAGTCACCTAAGTGATAGAAGAAAAAAATAACCATCAGACTTTTGTGAACTATTTGTTCAGGTACCATGTCAATGAGTGCCAAATTTACATACTTCTATTTATTAAGCCAATGACTAAGTAGAGTTATGCCTTATGTGTCTTACAGCTTTGAGAGGTGAGGTGAGCCCCTTAAGTGAATTTAAGATCACTGACGCTGACCCCCTCCAAACACCAAAGCTTTCTGATAAAAAATGTCTAATATGTTACCCACGCTCTTGCCTTTCAAAAGATGGAGCATAGAGGGGCGTCTGGGTGGCTCAGTCGGCTAAGCGTCCAGCTTTGGCTCAGGTCATGATCTCACGGTTCGTGGGTTCGAGCCCCATGTCGGGCTCTGTGCTGACAGCTCAGATCAGAGCCTGGAGCCTGTTTCAGTTCTGTGTCTCCCTCTTTCTCTGACCCTCCCCTGCTCAGGCTGTCTCTCTCTCTCTCTCTCAAAAACAAATAAAAAATACAAAAACAAAACAAAAACAAAACAGGAGTCATAAAAAAAAAAAAAAAAAGATGGAGCATAGATCATAACTTTTGTTCAGGGACTCAAGTTTGTCCTAACAAACAAGTGTCACCATGCTAAGTGACAATGTCATTCTGTTTCCTTTCTCAGTCTGTCATTCTTCAGCCACTATTACACAGGGATGTAAAAACCATCTTCTCATCCTCTGCTATTTTCCTGCCAATGATCTGCCTCAGGTGGGGATGCTGGTGGCTGTTGAGAATTTGATCTCATTGGGATTTGGGGGGATTGAGCGTGTGATTATGGTATAAGGACATTCTGGTCCATCGGTTCCCTGGGACAACCAGGAGCATCTTTCTTTTACTTCCATTATGCCCTCTTGAGTTAAAGAAGCATGTTTCCTCTTTATAAAACAAAAAATGCAGCTTTTCTAAGGTGCATCAGTATCATCTTAGAACAACCAGTGCTTTTTTTTAGTAGCTTCCTGGAAAGGAACAAGAACTCAGGAGGCAATGATGCTGAGCCCACGTGAAGAAGACTTTTTTTTTTAATGTTTTATTTATTTCTAGGAGAGAGAGAGAGACAGTGTGAGCAGGGGAGGGTCAGAGAGAGAGGGAGTCACAGACTGAAACAGGCTCCAGGCTCCGAGCTGGCAGTCAGCACAGAGCCCGACGCGGGGCTCGAACCCACGAACCGCGAGATCATGACCTAAGCGAAAAGTTGGACGCTTAACCAACTGAGCCACCCAGGCGTCCCGAGGAAGACTTTTTGTACATAGTTCCTCCTTCTAGAGTTGCTGTGAGTCACTGCACGATCCACTGAGTTGACAAGCATCACAGTCTCTGTGTTTCCCCAAAAGGTAACAGAAAGGGAGTTGAAATCTGGAGGAGCCAACACGCAGGTGACCGAGAAGAACAAGAAGGAGTACATCGAGAGAATGGTGAAGTGGCGGGTGGAGCGCGGTGTGGTGCAGCAGACTGAGGCCCTGGTGCGGGGCTTCTATGAGGTGAGGAGGGGGGCTTGTGGGGAAAAGGGAGAAGAAGAGCCAAGGCGGGCAAAGGGCAATGCTCTGGTCCCCAGAGTGCAGAGAGGACACCCTTGGGGTAGATGCAGGAGGCGTCAGAGTTCTCTGGGAAACCAAACTCTTGCGGTAGGTGAAAAATGCTCTCACAAAGATGTTCTTGTGGCCTCAGGGTGCCAGATACGGAAACGTATATTGTCTCTTGTCCAGCCCTGTGCATGTGTGTTTCATTCAGCGAAATAAAAATGAGTGAAGCAAAGGCGTTCGAGGGTCTTGTCCACTCTTGGTAGATTTCTCTTTTGTTGTACTGTCACTGTGTGCCACATAATCCATACTGAGGTAGTAAATCAAGAGGTGAGGGACAGCTTCCAGCTTCCTGTGCACCACACATTGACATCCTTAAACTTTTGCAATTAAGAAACAAAACACTGTAAGTGTTTTCTCAAGGGCTTGAGTCTTGGAAAGTTTGCTTTACCTGCAGTAATGGAGAACAACATGGCTCACTAGTTTGATTCGAGAGGGTATTAACCAACCTCAGGTGTTCAGTTGTGACTGATACCTTTGGCAATAAGGTATAAAGTCAGCTCAGAGCCCTCAGAAAGGAGGTCTTCCCAGATCTTTGAAAGAGGGAGGAAGGAAGTGAGGGGAGAAAGGAAGGAAAATACAGTCGTTTTAATATAGAATGCCTATTCCTAGGAGATGAGTCATAGTTTTATGTGGAAGAGAGGATACCTTTTTTTTTTTTTAATATTTTTATTTATTTCTAGGAGAGAGAGAGAAAAAGAGACAGCGTGAGCGGGGGAGGGTCAGAGAGAGAGGGAGATACAGACTCTGAAATAGGCTCCAGGGTCCGAGCTGGCAGTCAGCACAGAGCCTGACGTGGGGCTCGAACCCACGAACCGCAAGATCGTGACCTAAGCGAAAGTCGGACGCTTAACCAACTAAGCCACCCAGGTGCCCCGAGAGGATAGCTTTTAAGTGAAGTGATAATACTAACATCAAGTCACTTCACAGTGTTTGGACTTTTTGCCTTTAAAATGCAATGATACTTGGAAACTTAAATGTGAGTAGAGAAAGTCAAGTCAGGTTTGCTCATAACATCATTCTGAGAGGGAGTATCAGAGGCAGTGAAAAGCCTGGGACCTTTTTTGAGTTCACAGCTCCTGAATGGATTCTGTTTCAAAATGTTTAAGCCACGATTTTGAACTTAAACATGATAGCACTTTGAAAAAAATGTTGTAGGGGTGTCTGGGTGGCTCAGTCGGTTAAGTGGCCGACTTTGGCTCAGGTCATGATCTCAGTTCATGGGTTCGAGCCCCGCGTCGGACTCTGTGCCGACAGCTCAGAGCCTGGAGCCTGTTTCAGATCCTGTGTCTCCCTCTCTCTCTGCCCCTCCCCCACTTGCACTCTTTCTCTCTCTCAAAAATAAATAAATGCTAAAAACAATTTTTTAAAGAAAATAAAAGTTATAAATGATGATCAGTCTCCTAGCTTAACCCACAGAAGTAATAATAAATGAATAAAACCTTTCAGTGTGGTTGAACTTGAAGCCTAATCTGTATTTCAGGTGGTAGACTCGAGGCTTGTCTCCGTGTTCGATGCCAGGGAGCTGGAGCTGGTGATAGCGGGCACGGCGGAAATCGACCTGAACGACTGGCGGAATAATACAGAGTACCGGGGAGGTGAGCTAGCTAGCAGGGCCAGCGCAGACATAGTGTACCACTTTTTTAAAATTCTTTATACTGAAGCGAAATTGGCAGAGCATAACATTAACCATTTTAAAGTGAACAGTGCAGTGGCGTTTGGTACGTTCACAATGTTGTGTGACCATCGCCTTTTGCTGGTTCCAAAACGTTGCCCTCACCCCAAAAGGAAACCCCGGACTCATTAGGCAGTTGCTTCCCATATCTGAGAACCCTCAATCTGCATTCTGTGTCTGTAGATTTACCTATTCTGGATATTTCACGTAAAAGGAGTCATACAATATATGATCTTTGGGATCTGGTTTCTTTCATTGAGCATTCTCTTTCAAGGTGTGTTTCTCTGCTTCGTTCCTTTTTGTGGTTGAATAGTATTCCATTATATATATTCCATATATAGTTATAACATAAATATAAGATAATATGCCATTATATATGATATATATTTCAGTACTTTAAAAAATTTTTTTAATGTTTTATTTATTTTTGAGAGCAAGAAAGACAGAGCATGAGCAGCGGAGGGGCATAGAGAGAAGGGGAGACACAGAATCTGAAGCAGGCTTCAGGCTCTGAGCTGTCAGCACAGGGCCCGGCACGGGGCCCAGACTCACAGACCGGGAGATCATGACCTGAGCCGAAGTCAGACGCTTGACTGGCTGAGCCCCCCAGGCGCCCCTATTTCAGTACTTTTTATAAATTTTTTTTTTAATGTTTTATTTATTTCTAGGAGAGAGAGAGAGAGAGAGACAGCGTGAGCAGGGGAGGGTCAGAGAGAGAGGGAGTCACAGACTCTGAAACAGGCTCCAGGCTCTGAGCTGGCAGTCAGCACAGAGCCCGACGCGGGGCTCGAACCCACGCACCGCGAGATCATGACCCAAGCGAAAGTCGGACGCTTAACCGACTAAGCCACCCGGGCGCCCCCTATTTCAGTACTTTTTAAAGACTACATTAAATTTGGCCTTACTTAAACACCTGTGCACAGTAGGCTCTCCTAACACGCCTTCCAGTGACTTCCATCCTGAACGTTCCTTCAGGTGACCCCCATTGCTATAATCTCTGGCCTAACTGCATGTAGATGTATGACCGAGACCGCCACCCAGAGACCAGCTTCTGAGCTGGGTTACACGCTGGCTGGGAAGTGTGTCTGCTTCTGGCAGACCTGGAGTCCCCTTCTCTCCACCTCGGTTTGCCACAACATGGTCTGTTGACTCTCCAAACCCTGTTCCTAGACTCCCCCTAACTCTTGGCCTTCATGCTGCCAAACTAGTCTTCTTGAAACATTATTTTCACCAGGCCATTTCCTTATCCACAAAACAAACTCCTTATTACTTTTGAAAGTGTTTTTTCTAAGGCTCAAAACCATTCTTTGTGTAGAATATTACAGGGACACCCCCGTAGGAGCCATAGAGAGAGAACTGGGCCGACCGCCTCAGTCTCCCTCGTTTCCCCAGTGTACTCAGCCATGAGAAGCCTGTGTGGGACCGCTGGGCACTTCTTGGCATGGCAGGGGAAAACCGAGGTGTCAAGCCCCAGTGTCTCTGCCTGGCTGCTACAGCCCTGTAAAGCCCTCAGCAAATTTCCCTCAGTCCTCACCAGACCACCCCCCCCCCACCCCGTCCCCGTACCAGTCAGCTTGCCATTCCCTGCATATTTCTTCCTTACTCTTGGTGCTCTCCGTTTCTCCCGTCCTCCACTCCCACAAAGCCTTCCTGCGCTCAGCACACACCTCACCTCCCTCTTTCTACCCCAGCTGACACACGTTTCTCCCATCGTGGAGTGCCTCTTGCATCTGCAGGAGCAGTGAATCACTTACCTGAATCAGGAGACCCACGCTTGCTCTCACAACTGTACGGTGACAGTGGCCCAATACTTCTTCCACGGGCCCGACTGGCCTGAGAGCAGCTGTTCAGGGGGCACTGATGGCCACTGGGGAGTCCAGCATCTTCTGTTCTCTAAGCTTGCCATTCACCTCCAGCCCTTCTTGAGTCCTAGACTGTCCCACAGTATTCAGTTGCCAAGAGCTAAGACCTCACATAGAAAATGCGGTGAATGGGGTGCCTGGGTGGCTTAGTCGGTTAAGCGTCCGACTTTCACTTAGGTCATGATCTCGCGGTCCGTGGGCTCGAGCCCCGCGTTGGGCTCTGTGCTGACTGCCAGCTCAGAGCCTGGAGCCTGTTTCAGAGTCTGTGTCTCCCTCTCTCTCTGACCCTCCCCTGCTCACGCTGTCTCTCTCTCTCTCCTAGAAATAAATAAAAATATTTAAAAAAAAAAAAAAAGAAAATGCGGTGAAATATTATGTTCATAGAGGGTTTTGTCTCTTAGGGTCCCACGCATCTCTAGCCACTCCTTGTCTCATTTATATAAGGCAGGAAAATGACTGGTGGGGCCCCAGGTGTTTACATAGAAAGCAGACATCGCTGAGGACACCCCTCAGAGCATAAGATCTTCTTATAAAATGGCTACTTTCTAAATCTGCTTTTGTTGTAAAACTTGACCTAGGTATACAGATTGTCCTAGACCTGTGTGAAGGCTGTCATTAGAGAAATCGGCAGGCAAGCCGCGGCTAGTCTGTTTCCATCACACCTGTCTCGTATTTCGCCTCTCCCTTCCTCCTCCTCTCTGCACATCCTCCCTTCCTCCTTCTGCTCCATTCAGGTTATCATGACGGGCATCTTGTGATCCGCTGGTTCTGGGCCGCCGTGGAGCGCTTCAATAATGAGCAGAGACTGCGATTACTTCAGTTCGTCACGGGAACATCAAGCGTGCCCTACGAAGGCTTCGCAGCCCTTCGAGGAAGCAACGGGCTTCGGCGTTTCTGCATAGAGAAGTGGGGGAAGATTACGTCTCTCCCCAGGTACAGGCTCCTGCCAGCCTTCAGGAAACCCACCAAGTATACTTTGTTATTGGGTTTGGGCGATGATCCTATAGGATAGAATTCTTCCCTGCCACCCACAGTTTGTTATATGAATTATTGATGAAAGGTGCCAGTGAAGAGCCTCTGGGATGTGAATTTAGACCATATTCTTAGTGACTTTTTGACTCTTGATGGCATTTGGGCAATAATGTCATGGTCCATGTGTAAGTTATGGGAAGCTTTCCAATCTGTACGTAGCCCAATTTAATTTAAGGAGGAACGTCTCACCTGGTGAGGGTGGAAGGAGAGGCTGGAAGCCCAAAATAACCCTTCCAACACCATATCTGTACTTCTCCAGCATGTCACTTGATACTCTGTAGGATAGTTATGCATGTACATGTCACATTTTTCCTACTATGGTTTTTTTTTTAATGTTTATTCTTGAGAGAGACAGAGACAGAGAGGAAGTGGGGGAGGACAGAGAGAGACACACAGAATACGAAGCAGGCTCCAGGCTCCAAGTTGTCAGCACAGAGCTCAACATGGGGCTTGAACCCACGAACCGCAAGATCATGACCTGAGCCAAAGTGAGATGCTTAACCAACTGAGCCACCCAGGCGCCCCTATCCTACTGTGTTTTAAAACATGTGAGGACAAGACTATATGATATTTATCTCAGGCCTCTACAGGGACTTCTCCATAGTAAGCTGTCAAGGAGATAATTGTGGGATAAAATGCAGAAAAGGAGACCCAGGAGAGATCCAGGCAGTTTAACAGATGAATTTCCTACACTGTGAGCTTTAATCCCTACACTTCCGGGGCCCTTTGTAAGCCACTTTGGGCAGCCTTTTCCTGCCCTGAAATGAAGAGCGCTACAGAGATACTTCTGTATAGGTACCACAGTAAGAGACCCTGCTCAACAACAGAAGAAAAGATTGATCCATATTATTTTCTTCTATGATATTTTCTAATTATAAAAGGAGATTCACATTTGACTCAGCTTTCTTTCCACATGGCTTCCCAGATACTATTGCTAAGTCCCAATGGAAGGATTTACTGAACTATGATTTGCATCCAGATCTTCTAATGTCCTGAAGACAAGTCACCTGATGTCAGTGAGCATCAGGAGGCCCAGGAAACAGAGTGCAGGCCCAGCTGGTTAATAACAGCCTAAAGCCTTGGCACAATTTTCAGTCCTGGCTTCACCCACTCGCGCAGCAGACCCCTGGTGCTCATTCGCATAGTTCTGCGGATGGCTGAAACTACTGAATTATATCTGGCAAGGAAATCATGCTAAAAAGGCAAGACTCCCATTTGTCTAGTTTAATGATAGATTTGGAAGACAAGGTTATTTGGAAACATTCTGTTCTTATTTTTGGAGAATGAGTTTGAGTCATCTTTGATGACCGCCTCCCCCCTGAGGAGGGCCTAAAATACAACCACCTGCCTTCCCAGAGGAGCTTCTAGTCTAGGGAAGAACACAGCCCAGGAGTAATAAATTACAACACAAGGTGGAATCCAAGGAGCACTGAGAAGGGAAGGTAAAAACAAGGTGCTGTGAGGATGTAAAACACACACCTAATCGCAGCTGAGCTGGTAGGAGGAGATGCCACAAAGAAGCTGGTATGGAGGTGAGCATTGAGCGCCGGGGAATGGGCCGAGGGGAATTTCAGGCTGAAGCAGCAGCATAGCAAGGCCTGGGGGTGGGAGGTGGCCAGCATGTGTTCAAGGAGTGCTGAGCCAGCAAGGGGGACAGAATGTCCTAAGTGATACTCACAAGGGATAAGGTTGAGAAAGATAGTTTGGTGAATCACAGAGAGAAGACCCTGCTGAGGAGTCTCAGCTTTGTTCTTTAGGAAATGGAAATAGGAATTGCTTTTGTCATTTGGGGATCACAGATTGAGTCTAACTATGTCTTTGCTTTGAGCAGCTTTGAATATTCTATTCACCTACACAAAGAGCTTATAAGGTAGATGTTGGGCTTATGATAAGGCTCTTCACATCTGGGCCAAGGCATCCCTAAAAAGTCTACTGTTACACAAACCCCAGAGAGGATTCTTTGGGGAAGCAGGGGCTTTACCCTGGGCCAGGAGGACCCCAAGAAGCAAAGGCTGAGATGCTTCTGGAAGAACAGTGAAAATGACCCCCTGGATAGTAACCCCTAACTAGTCTTCCTTGTACATTTTCTGAAGATCCAAGAACCTAGAAAGTGTCACCAATGTGCAAAGAGAAAGAAGTAACTACTGACTTCTAAGAAATGTAGTTTGGGAAGACCTGGCCAGGTGACATAGCAGGTGGTAGGAAGCCGCGAGGGGAGCGGAGCAGCATCTGAGATGAGTTGGGGCAGGGAGGGGCCCAGAGGCAGGAGAGCCAAGCAGACACGGATGACCCAGGACCTCCCAGGGAATGTGAGCCCCATGCCCCCTTCCCACCCCAGGAGGAGACGTGTTCTGGAGCTGCTGTGTCCTCAGATCTTCCCTCTACAGACAACTGGATTCCCAGATGAAAGTGCCAAGTAGTGTCACAACCAAACCTGAACCATAGCCCAGGCTAAATAAAACCTTTATATCAATCCAAGCCCTTGCCTCCCAAAAACTGTAGGAAGGTTAGGAAAGAAGACTTTCAGAGTAATGGCTTCTAGGATGTAACTTTACAATACCTGATAAATTTCAGTATAAGACGGGTGGGACAGTCCCTGAGGTTGAGGTCAAGGAGCTAGCATGTTAGGGCATTGAAAGGTCATCCATGCGGACTCAGAAGCTACACAGTCTGGTGGGAACACCTGGAATGGGAAGGATTTAAACAAAGTAATAGAGATTTTAATAAATGTAATTAGCTGGAAGGTCTAGAGCACTAATTTTCAAACGTTTTAATCATAGGCCACAGAAAGAAATACCTTTTACATAAATAACATCACAACCCAGTACATGCGTATCTATGTGTGTGTCTATGTCTGTCTGTCTGTCTGTCTGTCTGAAACACAAGTTCCTCAGAACAAACTCTTTACTCTTATTACCTGCAGGTAATACACTCTGTCTTCTAATCTATCCTATTTGATTGAAAAAAAAAAAAAGCCAAATAAAACCTGTAATTATAGAAAAAAATCTAAGTGGCACAAAATTTAGAGAAATCTAATTTTTTAAACATTTACTTCCCTTTTATTTTGATTTATTCATTTTAATGGAAGTATCGTTGCTCCAAGATGTTACATTAGTTCTAACATAGTGATTGGACAAGTCTATTGGATATGCTGTGCTCACCATGAGTGTCATTACCATCTGTCACTACACAAGGCTATCACAGTGCCGTTGACTATATTCCTTGGGCTGTGCCTTTTATTCTTGTGACCTATCCATTCTGTAACTGGAAGTCTGTACCTCCCACTCTCCTTCACCCATTTTGCCCAACCCCCCACCCCACCCCACCCCACAACCGGCAACCATCAACTTGTTCTCTGTATTTATGAGTCTGCTTCTGCTTTTTGTTTGTTTGCTTTGTTTTGTTTTTTAGATTACACACATAAGTGAAGTCATTGGTATCTCTCTTCCTCCGTCTGATTTGTCTTACTTAGCATAATACCTTCAAGTTCCATCCACGTTGTCACAAATGGCAAGATCTCATCCTTTGTCATAGCTGAGTAAAAGGAACAGAAATTTTTGATCAAAGACTCAAAAGTAGTGATCTAGAATTGGTAGTGGAGAGTGAGCAAAGTGCTCATTCACATCACAGAATGTGGCAGGGTGACCACTGGCCATCTCCACTCATGGGGACTAAGAAGGGATGCTGGACTTGTAGGCCATGTCCAGAAAGGGAGAGTGGGAGAGTTTCCTTACTGTACAGCGAGGACTGAGGAGGGAACAGAGGAGAGGCTCCAAAGGAAAGAAAAGTATGGAAGCCAGTCCTAATAGACACAGCACAAGGCAGCATGGAGATGGAATACAGGAGAGGAGAGGAACTTACGGGTTTACATTTGGAGTGGGGACCAGGAATTCCAGAACTATGAGTCATGGGAAGATTGGCCTAAAAGTTCCAAACAGAATTCTACCAACAGGCTCCACTGCAGATGTAAACTGAGCCCAAGCCCAGGTGGAGGGGAAGACCTGATTGATGTAGATATTGGCTTACTCTATAGGGATGGCTCTCACGGGGGATGGGAGAGGTGTTCCCCCCCCGCCCCCCCGCCCCAGGGGACAGCTGACAATATCTGTAGACATTTTTGGTTGTGACGGAGGGGTTAGTGACATCTAGTGGGTAGAAGCTAAGGATGCTAAACACCTGAGATGTATAAGACAGCTCCTCATCATGGAGAATTTTCAAGTTTATAATGTCAGTAGTGCCAAGGTGAAAAACCCTGTTCTGTAGGCTATACGCCTACAAAGGAGGTGTGAGGGAGCCATTGGGAGTTTGGAAGAGAAACTGACAGCCACTGAGAAGCCATAGAGAAGCCAAGGGGAGAGAGAGATTCAAGAAGAAAAGATATCAAAGGCTTTTAAAGAGTTTGAGGAGGTGTAGGCAGAGAATGGGCCTCTGGATTTGGGGATCACAAGGTTCAAATTGAAAAAGAGTAAGTTTAGTACTGATGAGAGTGAGAACCATCTGTTTTTCTCTCGTTTTAGTTTTTAAGATCATAAGTGAGGGAGAGGAAGTGAGAAGGGGACAGAGGATCCGAAGTTGGCTCTGCACTGAAAGGCTGCCCGGCTGCCAGCAGTGAGCCTGATGTAGGGCTTGAACTCATAAACCATGAGATCATGACCTGAGCTGAAGTTGGACGCTCAACCAACTGAGTCACCAGGCACCCCTGAGAGTGAGAACCATCTGTACAGGGAGGCTGTGGTTGGACTGGAAGAAAGTGACATAAAGGGGTGACAGGACTTTTAAAATTGGCCTCACAACTAGCTGAACAACCAGCAGCAGAGAGCAGTGATTTGTTTGCTTTTAGTAGTGTTGTTGGCTTTTGGCCAGCCTTAAAGCAGTCTCTTCTGGGAAGAAGCATGCTATCTTTGGCATTGGTTACCATTTTAATCAACACTTGGAAAAAATCAAGGAGACACTGTAGATGTTACAAAGTAGAAGGGCAAGTAATGCAGTGGTTGGCACAATCTAGATCCTGAATTAGCTCAAAATGCTGGAACCCTAGATTAACACCAACAGAGTGAAAATTGACCTGGCATGATTGAAAAGGTCCATGTGGAGTTCCAAAATCTCACTGCACAAATGGGAGATCAGGGCGATTCATTTGCCAGCGGTTCATATGAAAAAGGCTGAGGGTTTTGAGTCCCCACAGATGTGACACAGTTCTTGACATTATAACTGCAATTGTGGTTGCATTATTAAGAGGATCTTAGGCTTAAATGATGATTCACAGATTATAAAAGGCATTTATGTGCTTTCTAACATCGGTCCTCACAACAACCCCCTGAGGCACACAGAGCATATATTATTACCCCCATTTTACAAGTGAGAAAACTGAGGCTCAGAAAGATTAGCTGACTTTCCCAAGGTGATAAAGCTAGCAAGTGGCTAGACTGTAATCAGAATAGAGGTCTTCCAACGCCTGGTTTCACGCTTTCTCTACAACCTACTACACACAGGAGCCAGGGCCCAGGGAGGGAATGAGCAGATGCTCTGTGTTCTCAGAACTATGCCTGGAGGACTGCAAGCATTTAAGAATGCTGAATTGAGGGCACCTGGGGGGCTCAGTCAGTTAAGCATCTGACTTCAGCTCAGGTCATGATCTCATGGTTCATGGGTTCAAGCCCCACATTGGGCTCTGCACTGAATGGGTCAGAGGCTGGGGCCTGCTTTGGATTCTGTCTCACCCTCTCTCTCTGCCCCTCCCCTGCTCGTGCTCTGTCTCTCTCTCTCTCTTTCTCAAAAATAAATAAACATTAAAAAAAAGAATGCTGAATCAAACCATGATTTGATTGTGTTCATTCATTCTCGATTACAAACTACCATCTATTTAAGAGAATTAACTAAGGCTGGTGATAAATGCAGTAAAAGTGACTCAAAGAAACTCTGGGAATCCACGCTAGGTTTTGAAGGGTGCCATTTGCTAATGCTTTCAGATTATTCCCAGAAATTATCTTCTACAGAATTAATTTTGTTCCAGCTATTTGCAAATACGGGATTTTTGGTGTAACATTTCCACTCATGAGTGCTAGTTAAAATGGTCAGAGGGAGAAAAACAAGACAATGATGTCTGCTCATATCTTGCTCCTAACTAGTTCAGCTCGTTTCAGAAGTGTACTTGGGATTTTCCTGACCCACCTAACTTGGTTAGCCAGAACCCAGAGCATGTCTTTGTTTTAATCTTTTTAAACCTAGAGGAGGGCTGCTGTAATTGTCATCCTACTCAATTTACTGAGTGCTCTTCCACTTTTACTCAAATGAGTTCAGGTAAGATATTTTAATTATTCTCTTGGGATGCCAACCGAGGCCTTTTTGAGTCTTCGATCATACTCTGAGACTTCTGATAATCTTGGTCTATTTTTATGCTTCTTCCCAGTTAAGTCCTTGAGACCTAAGGCCAGATACACCGCTATCCTGTGCCCACCGTTGGAGCTAGTTGGGGCACAAGGAGTCTGGGGGAGTAGTTTCCCAAGGACAGTGAGGGAGGTATGGCCAGGAGAAGGAGGAATGGATGCTGAGAGACAAAAACATCAGCATCCTCCCCTGTTCTTCCTGTGCAGGAGAACTCACCTCCCCATCACCCAAATAATCTCCCTCATACCCTGAGCACTGCATCAGCCTGATCAGCAACTCTGAAAACAAAGGTATGAATAATGCACAACTTCCCTAGGGATCTTGTAATTAAAAGAAGAATTCAATATCCCACTTGAAATTCAGGTGAAGGGAGAATGGTATCTTTGGTTAGAGTTTTGTTGTCTTGTTGTTTATATGTTTGTTTTGTGATATTTTCTCTTCTATTTTATTGTTATTCTATTTGATTTCATTTCATTTTAATGTGCATTGTTTTGTGCTGGTTGGCTTCTCAAAACACCATTGCAACACACCTTTTAGGAAGCAAAAGGCATTAGGTTAACCTTGAACTGCACCACCCACCTTTCTCCCTGCTTTGGTATAGACCTTGGCCTCAACCAACGATTCCATAAAAACAAAGAACATCTGAAAGGGAAGAATGAGTCAGGTGATTTGAAGTTCCACATAGGGAAACTGTGCCCAGGCATCTTGGGCTCACCACTGAGCCCTGTACAGGCCATACGGGGTCTGGTCCTGCTCTGTACATTAGTGCAAAGCAAGGAAAGCCATTCCTTATCTAGACCAGATACTGACGTGCGTGGGCCCACAGGATGGATGAAGGATATGACAAATATGGCAGAACTCAGGGCACAGGGATGCTCCAGGCAATCAGGGAAGACTATTCCATAAGCTCAGCTGTCCTTGGAAATACAACTCTCCAGTGTCAGGTTAGCTGTGTCCCACGGAAACAGAAGAGTCACACCCTCTCCAGGGCACACCTGACTTGATAGATCATTGGCTCTCAGAATTCCAGGGCATCCGGTGGCACCTCTACATCAATGCACGTGGTTTACTGTGGCCCAGAAATCAGAGCTAGGTAAGAATCTAGCTTCCTTCACTGATCACATCCAATTCCTATTTCAACTACAGAATAAAGCCGATACTGTCAAGTTTATGAGTGTGGTTTGCTTAAAAATGTTTCTAATGATTCTACTCCTTCAACTGGTTTGTCCGTGCCTAGAAGGCCACTGTTCTCAGTTGCAATCTTTTGTGATGGTCCAAAATCATGGTTGTCTCATTTTCTATTCCCTTTTGCTTCATAGCTTCAGATTGATCACTGATACATACAAACCAGTTGTACCTTGAAACAAACACCTTCACCAATCTTTTTTCCCTATTCAGGGCACACACATGCTTCAACCGCCTGGATCTTCCACCTTATCCCTCATACTCCATGTTGTATGAAAAGCTGCTAACAGCAGTAGAAGAAACCAGCACCTTTGGACTTGAATGAGGAAACGGAAACTCAGCTGACATTTTCCCGGCAGTCACATCACCCTTTCTGGGATCATCCCCTTGCCCTTCCCCTGAATCAACTCTCCTTTGATTTTGGTATTCCATGATTTTTATTTTCAAACCAAATCAGGATTGACAAAAGCTGTGCATGAAGAACTGCCTTCTTCTGAGATCCAACCTTCAGGCTTATCTCCTCTACTCTCGATGAACTGCTAGCCTGTATGCAATATTAAACAACAGCTGTCTCAAGGTCTGTGTGTATCTCCACATACCTCCATTACTAACAATGAAATATGAATGCAAGTTATGCTACACTTGACCAAATGGTAATAAAAGTTTACTTCCATTTATATAATTTTAGGGAAATTTGAGCATTAAGCATTCTGAGCTTTTATATGCCCATGTCTTCTGAGCAGAGCCACCATTTTTTATAATTTCTAACAAGCAACTCCGGGTCTAGGAGTCAATCAACAAGTTCTTTTCCTCCCACTCTACTTTTCCCCGTGCACACTCTCCATCCAGAAACAGCAGTGGCAAAGCTGCAGTTTTTATACATTCAACTCATGATCCACATGTGGCATCAGTCCCATCAGCTGGAACTAGCCTAGGCATATGGTGCAAATATTACACTTTCCAACAAATAACAACAGCAAGAAAAATGCCTCCTGCTGATGCAGTGCGGAGCATCTCAATGGCTGGGGGGGATTGTGGCTCAGCCTGAGGTTAGAGAAGTCTAGGAGGGGTGTGCCTCTCACGAACACTTACCACACGAGAAGCAGAAACTTGTGCACACAAAGGAGATCTCATTACGTAGCTTAAAGGACAAGACTTCTCCCCCCCCACCCCCCCCGCCCCATCGTGTTGTGTGGAATGTGATGGCGCAAACAGGAGAGAGGGAAGAAGGCCATGTTAGGTTGGTTTGAATACCTGAGTTCTGTACTGTTTTGTTCTGTTTTGCTTTGTTCAGTCTAGCTACAGTTGTCCCTCACAAAGGAAAAAAATGTATAGATAAACTCATGACTCGCGTTAAAGCCAGGTAATTCTTGCTTGGCAAGCAAACTTTCATTTTAACTTTGATTCTGGTTTTTTTCTCATGCTCTTTTCTTTTTTTTTTTTTTCTTTTCTTTATGATGGTGTTCGAACTCCTTCCCATCTGATTGTCCCACAGGGACCATAGTAAACAAGAAGCTGCAGAGAGTGATGGTGCTTGTTCGGGGTCAAGGGCAATATAATACTCCTTTTTCATCCACAGCAATCCTCGTGGAGCAGACACCTAACACCCCCAGAGGCACATTGATTTGTCAAAATAGAGATCCAGTTTCTTTTAGCATTCGGTAAAGAGGTATCTCAGAAAACGTAGTGTTTTCAGGAAAACAGTTGCAGGCTCCGAAGACAGCCTAACCTCTTGATTACGTTTGGAGTAAGTGCAAACATAATGGTCATCTCTATTTTTCTAACCTTGTTATCTATGTTGTCTGAAATGTGTCGTAAGTGAAAGTGTTTTTCTTCACTGGGAAAAGAAGAGCTAAAGGCGCCCCACTGTTGAAAAGTCACGTTGTTTCCAATATATTAAACAAAGGGGAAATGTGAGAAATTTAAGACAAAGTCAATTTCACAGGAAGCCATGCCTCGTACTCCTTGTATGGGTTTGTGTACAGGTAGCGCATTGCATTTCCTCCACTCCAAAATGAAACTTCTTTCAGTAGTAACTATTTATAATGTCCAGCACACCTTGCTGCTGTGTGTCTGCTGTCAATTGGGAAGTAATATATTCAGAAATTTAGCTTCTATTATTGTCTAAAAAGAGTATTTGCCAAGGAAAATGGGATGTGTAAGTTACATAATATAAATTTGAGGGATCTGTAAAATTCAGTACATATTTCAGTACCTGAACAATTACAAATTCCGTTGGAGCTGTTATTTATAAAATCGGAGCATAAGAATTATACAAATCATTTCACCATTTTGACTCTTTGAACATCATCTCTAGTATAGGGAGCATCTTTCATTTTTAGAACTTGGTGTTATACATGTGTAAATACTCATTAATTCAAGCACTCCTTTTTTTAGTACTTAACTTTCTTTGTTAGGCATTGGCAAGGGAGGAAGATGTTCAAAAGATAGAACCTGCTCCTGAGGAGCTTTATAATTTATGCAAATATATAGTGATTACTTGATGTCTATTCCACCAACACACAGAAGAAACAAGGTATCCTAGAAAATATATAAAGATAGATATCTTGGGCATAAATGGATTTTCAACTAACTTTTCCTTCTTCCTGTCCTCCCTCCCTATGCCCCGATGGCATGGCTCTAAATGTGTCCCATGAAGCATTACATGATGAGTATTTCATAAAAGTATAAAATTCCGAAAAGAAATACTGATGTCAAAGTCAGCTGAAAGGAGGCAAATCTTGCTTCACAGGGTCCCAGATTCTATTACAGCCTCGCACGGAACCCTAAACAATAGTAAACAAAGGGGAGAGGATAACAGACAGTTGTGATGGAATGATTTTATGATTTCCGGATGTCCCAAGTCATGTTTCTTCAGTTATTATTCCCTAATATATGAGGCTGGAATATACGAAAATTGCGTATCATTTGTCATCATGTATATAATTGTGTTATTAATTCCATCAGCTGGAGGTGTAAACCTCCCCTGATCATGTGACTCAATGGACAAGGCAGATCTGTTTGTTACCACTTCTGATTTCTTTTTAATTAAAAGTATGAATTTTCTTCACGGAAGCATTTTATTTTAATCACTTATAAACCACAATTCCCCTAAAACAAAACCTTTTAGAGCTAGGTTTGGTAAGAGTATATTACCCTTAATTAGAGGACAAACAAGAACAATAAATAAGAGAAAACTTATCTTTCAAGTAGAAGAGTGCTTTTAAAATGCTATGAAGTGTCATAATAATTTTATGGATATGACATTTTATTCTATCACGTAAAGATGATGCTCCTAAAATTGGAAATTGCCTCTGCAGGGCAGGAGTTCTCTGTAACTTCCTATGTGTAGAAGTCAGCAGTGGTTGTGAGAACTTTCTCCTCCTGTCACTGCTGTAGCACAGTTTCTTGAGGGCCATGAGAAAATTAAGAAAAAGAGATCTGGGTTTCTTTGGCAGCCTTCCGAATCTTTTTCTCTTTTAATCCATGACCGCGTGTGCATTAACGGTAAGTATATTTGTGTGGCGAGTCGATAAGCCAGACTTTCCAGAACAGTCCTATTGTTAAATTTATGGCATTGTCAATCCACGTGTCAAACTGTGTGTCCAAAATTTGGGGTCAAAAAATTTCTCAATTGCCACAAATGATTTCCCAGTCAAGATGAAACACTTTCAAATGAAAGTAGTTAGAACTTTACACAACAAATGTGGTGCTTTATTATTATTATTAATTATTATTATTATGTACTTCAGTGTTCATTATTAAAACTACTGCAATACTATATCATAAAAATCTGGGATGGATGTTCTAGCCCATCATGAGGTCCAAAAGAGAAAGTGTTATTTTCCTGTTAGTGACATGTAGTCCCTTTGTTCTAGTAGAAAAAAAAAAAAAAAGGTGCCTAGAGGTAGTATATAGAGTAAATATTGTTCCATTAGCCTACTTCCTGCAGCTTCCAATTTATCTAAGGAAATGTCTATAACAATTTTGTTAAAAGTCTTTGTTCTAGTCAATAGCAGGAGAAGTCCACATTACTGGGCTGATTTTGCTTACATCAGCAAGAGAAATGTCACGTGATACTCAGGCCGAGCTTTCTCTTCCATCATACCACCTTCAAGGAATGTCAATAAACTCACTTTGGTATGGCATTGTGTGTGTCCCTTTTTGCAAACAGAAGTCTAGGGTAATGCATAACAATTTGTATCATGCCTGTGCTCTCACTGGATGTAAGCAATAAAACAACACGGAAGGCTACCAGCGCTATGAAAAACAATCCCTGGAAAAATTATTTATCAAAAATAATGGTCTGTGTTCACAAACCCTCGAATAAAGGAACGGCTTTTGTAACAAGTTCCTTGTGTAAGCCTATTAGAACTGCACACAAGCCCCGGGGGCTTCCTTTGTGAGTGTCCTTTATGTTGAACCAGGCATACACTGGCTTATTGAATTCCTACATGTTGAGATGCTTCTCAAAGACTTCAGGGCACAGCCTAACACCAAGTGTGAACCTAGGAAAAGGGTTAGCACCAGGCAAAAATGTTGTGTCCAATGGCAAATATCATTACTCCCAATATTGCAAGTGGTATCGCTTCCTTCCAAACCTCTAGAAGACAAGCCATGTGGCTATTACTGGGCAGTCAGAAGCTGATTTATTCTTTGAGGGGAAAAAAAAAGCATTATTAGAAAGTGCAAGTAGGAATGAAGGAAGGAAAAACCTGAAAAGTCTCAATATTTCATTTTCCTACACATGCTTGGTGTACTTTCACTCATTCTAACTGAAAATGATTCTTCTCTAAGGCCTAAGAAGAAAAATTAGCCTAAACCATAATTTACAGACAGTAGATGACATTATTTTATATTTTAATCTGATCATTATTCTGAGATCAAGATTAGATTTCGAATCTGATTTCTATGGCCATGTTTTTCCACTAAAATAAAATCACCAGGAAGGGGCACCTTGGTGGCTTAGTCGGTTGAGCACCTGACTCTTGAATTCAGCTCAGATCACGATCCCAAGTTCGTGGGATCAAGCCCCTCATTGGGCTGGGTGTGGAGCCTGCTTAAGGTTCTCTCTCTCTCTCTCTCTCTCTCTCTCTGTCTACCCTCTCCCTCTTCCCTCTTCCCTGCTTCCACTCCCTTTCTAGGTTTATAATCTTCTGTTTCTGATTTATGTATTCTATTACATAAAGGCAGACAGGAATGAAATAGTAGGAATGAAATAGTAAACAGAGAAGGGATTAGAAGTGACTGAATTAGCCTAAGCACCTTCATATCTTGAACAGCTGGGAGATCACAGCTACAAAGAGATTTATTTTAATGTCTGGAACCTCTGAGTGAGCTAGTGTCAAAACTTGTTGAGATTAATCATCTAATATGTGCCCAAGAATTTGTATTTCTTTCCATTTTATTCCAAAAAGTACATCACATAGTTTTCTTTCTTCCTCTATAATTATGTAATCCTTGTGATTTTTTAAATGTAATAAAAATTGAGTCATGACTTTTATCATATCCAGACTTTTATATTTGTCCTTTATAAAAAGAGCTACTCTTCTTTTAAGCTTATTATTTTAATAGGAAAAATTAAATGACAATAAGAGTGTTTCTTTTCTAAGATTGTGATCTCATAAAATGGCCTCAATTCTCCATCCCTCCCAATAGCTACACCCTTTACCTGAAACTGTGCAGTCACCTCTTCCTGGGAGCCAAGCACAGAGGCATGTAAATGACTTGCGCGATTGAGCTTGACCTCCCTCTTGATGCTCTACTGTCATGGGAAACACACAGGGAGCAGCGCTGAGGCCAGGCTAAATCAACCAACAGCCAGTTGACCCCCAGGTATTTGAGTAAATGCAGCCAAGGTTATGAAAGCCACCTAAGCCGAATTGCAGCTAACCCCAGAGACATGAAATAAAAGTTTATGGTTATATGCCAGTGATGTTTTGTAATTGTTACACAGCATCGTTGTGGAAGTAGATAATGGATTCAAAGACCGTGAGGCATCTTTTCCTTTCTTGGGTAACTTTTGAAACTAAGCATTGAAAGTTGAGTTTAATGTTATGAATGCTTCCACACTATGGATCCACACGACGGCTCTGCCCCTGCCCATCCCACCCCATCTTGCCCTCCCATCCTCTCAGATGGAGAT